CAGTATAAATGTAAGATTTTGGAGAGTGTTGCATCAATCAAAATCAAAATAAAAACAAGAGTGAAACAGAAAGAGAGTGAAAATGAAGAGAGTGTCAACATCAGTTTTTGGTTTGGGAGTTCTGTTGCTCCTCACAGTTGCAGCCATGAAACCAGTGAATGGATTTAGCTGTATGGAGGCAAAACTTTCATTGTTGCAATGCTTACCTTTTCTGACGAGCAGTCAAGATAGCCCTTCAACTGCTTGTTGTAATGCAGTGAGCAATGTGAGAGCTTCAGCACCTACAAAACCTGAACTTCGTGAGGCATGTCAATGTCTCACGGCAGCCGTCGGTGAAGTTCCTAATCTTGACAAAGATAGAGCCGTTCAACTTCCTATACTATGTAACGTTGACGTCGGTTTTCCCCTCACCAAAGACATCGACTGTAACACGTAAGATTCCTTTTTTATTTATATTTTTCTTAATTTATACATACTCATAGTTCTTATTATTCTTTTATTTTTGTTCACATTTTATTTTTCAGGATCTCTCTTTGAGCAAGAGTTTTGAGGATGAAATGGGACATTGAAAATACTGGATTATGCTTTGAACTTCCTTTCCGTGAAAAAAAAAATAAGATTGTTTTCTCAACTTGTTCCATAGAGGCATTTTTAGTAATGATTATTTAATAGATATATCTGTTCTTGGTATCATTTTCTTCATAAAATCTCGTCATTTTATTATGATGTATGGTTTCAATATTTGAGATTCACCTACTTAAACAAAATAATCAAAATTAAACTATTGAAAAGAACTCTTCAACTATTATATTACGATAAGAGTACGTATTCAGTGTAAAAACTTATATGAACGGAAACTATAAATTTTTCAAAAGAAAAAATTATCCAACAAAGGATTTTTATCCTAATTTATATTGCTACATCACTCTCATTTTATATTGGATCAACTAAAATATTTTATTTACCCATGTTATTAAGGTGATCATTGTAAATAAGAAAAGAACACAAACAATAAAAAACAAAGGAAAGAATAAGTTAATGTGCAAAAAGAGCAATCATACAATAAATATACAAATATCAACATTTGTAATAACGCATATTAATCAATCCTAAAACATACAATTATTCATACTAAACTCGACCATCAGTATACACGTATTGATATAAGACTCTGTCAAGTTATGCACTTGTGGTTGACTCTAATATTATATAGAATATTGTCATTGAGTTTCACCGAACCCCACATAAGATTAGTCAGTTAACATCTTTGGATAAGGTAAAGTCACTAAACAATAATTTTCTACTCCTCTCATCACATACCTCACCCTCTTTTATATTATATTAGATGATTATTAGAACGATATAATAACTCTTAATATAAAATTCATATATCAATACATACATTACTTGAATTACAAGAATTTTTTCTAGAAATTTCTTGCATAATATTTAGCATACATATTTTCTACCACCATGTTATCAATCCATCATACATAATAAAATCAATAAAACAATAATATTTTCACTTTACTTCATCTTATCTTTTAATAATTTATTAACTATAAAAGTGAGAAGTTAAAATTCTTTTAAGATAAAACACAAATTCTAAGGTCAAGAAAGCAAAAGGAGATAGAAACATAATGCGTTTTGTTTGAACATCTAGACCACCTTTCAAGAAAACGAAAAAAAAAGTCATTAAATATTCGCAACAAGATCATTAAATATAAAAAACCATTAGAAAATAAAATTAAAAAAGATAAACAAAATGTAACTCATACTTCATCATTCTGCGGATCATACTCCAAAGAAAAGGAAAAGAACAAAAAGTCATGAATAGTCATAAATAACGTAACCTGATGAAAACTCATAACGCAGCATGAATGTGGCTATAAAAGCAACATCTCCCTCAGTGTTCCATTCATCCAAAATCAAAACACAAGATTGAATAACTTAGATAGAAACCTGTGTGTCAAAATGAAGACCGTCTTTCTATCATTCTTCACTCTGCTAATTCTGTTAGTCTTCACAGTTACTGCCACAAAGCCATCAAAAGGCTTAACCTGTGAGCAGGAGAAAACCTTAGTGAAGCCATGCTTAGAATATCTAACAAAGAAAACTGATGCCCCTTCAACTTCTTGCTGCGATGGGATGAAACAGATCATAATTTCATCACCTACGAAGGAAGAAAAACGTGGTGCATGTAAGTGCCTAAGGGAACAAGGCTCTCAGATTCCTAACCTAGACAAAGACAGAGCCAATAATCTTTGCAAAGAGTGCAAATTCATGTCCAGTGACTTGGATTGCCAAAAGTAAGACTTCTTTTTTTACTTATACAATTCATATTAATACCTTTCTCTCCTTTGCTTTTTCCTCACATTGCTTTTCCTTTCTTTTCTTTTTTTCAGACTTGATTAAACTTGGAACTGTGGATTATGCTGGGAATTTTCTATTTCTGTAACAGAATAACATTGTTTGTTCAACTTCTGTCAACAAACATTTATGTTGAAATCAATGATTAATGAATATGCTTTATATATATTGTTGCTGTCTTCTATTCATTTATTTCCATCTAATTATGATGAACTATTTGTGTTTAATGTTTGAGATTGATGAGCCTAATCCAAAATTAATCCAATGGAAATAACCTATCATTTATATATATATATATATTGTATAATAAAATAAATTTTAGAAGTATATGGTTCAAAATAGAGGATTAATAAAAAAAAACATATAATTCTATTAAGATTAATATAATGTAATCCTATAAAGATTAATAGAGAAGAGTTTAACGTCACTCCCACTTAAATTACTAATTGAAACTAAAAGTTACAAGTCAAATTTATCTTATTTTATTTTCTAAGTTATGAGACTGAAATTTTAAAAAATATTCCATGAAACATGATTATGTATTTTGACTCTTGTGATTCATAATTAGAAGTTTGTAGTTAGAGAAATTATTTTTGCAATTTTTAGAGAAATCTAGAAATCTAAATGTCACTTCTTTATATTTGTTTTGTATTGTCTCGGTAAAACTCTATTTTCTACTTTGTTAATTTTTGGATCAGACTGAAATTTTTATATATAGTTTTTTACACATAGTTATTTACTTTATCCTTGGGATTGTAAGCTAGAGATCTTTCGTTGAAGATATTTGTTTCATAATCTTAAAAAAAGAAAATTGTCATTAAATGATGAATTTTTGTTATAAGTATTGCGATAGAATAAATTATGTGAATCCTTATGTGGTATTGTGAATTGTCCTAACTTATAGATGAGATTAATACTTTGATATGAAGTAATGATAGGTAATGTGTTGAGATGTGATTCGTGTGGAGGTTATCCTAGCTCGGCTAGTATTAAACACATACAGAGTATGATTTCTAATGATGAGAGCCAATGGAGGTTTTCATATCGCAAATATAGAAATTTATCATGTCATGGTTTGGTTGTGATTGTGAGTTCTAATTCTCAAACTTATAACCATAGCTCCTGAGAGGTACCAGAGAGACATGACATGTGTAAAGGTACTTGCAATAATCATAGTGAATAGAAAACTAAGTGGATTCCTATACAAAATCTTAAAGAGCAATAATGGGAGAGTGAAACTAATTTTTGTATCATTATAAATATATATTATATTGTAAAAATTAAAAATATACTTTTGTATTGAGTCTTAGGACTAACTTGACTGTACGAAGTCA